CTTCCTAATATCTAATCTAAATCTCCCCTGCCCCAACTTCAGACCATTTCCTCTGGTCTTGTCGTTCGTCCTTTGGGAGAAGGGGCCAACCCCCACCTCTCTACAGTCTCCTTTCAGGAAGTTGTAGAGGGCAATGAGGTCTCCCCTCAGCCTCCTCTTCTCCAGACTAAACATGCCCAGTTCCCTCAGCCTCTCCTCATAGGACTTGTTCTCCAGACCCCTCCCCAGCTTGGTGGCTCTCCTCTGGACACGCTCCAGCCCCTCAATGTCCTTCCTGTAGTGAGGGGCCCAAAACTGAACACAGTACTCGAGGTGAGGCCTCACCAGTGCCGAGTACAGAGGCACGATGACTTCCCTACTCCTGCTGGCCACGCTATTCCTGACACAGGCCAGGATGCCATTGGCCCTCTTGGCCACCTGGGCACACTGCTGGCTCATGTTAAGCCTGCTGTCCACCAACACCCCCAGGTCCTTTTCTTCCGGGCAGCTTTCCAGCCACTCTTCCCCAGGTCTGTAGCGTTGCCTGGGGTTGTTGTGACCAAAATGCAGGCCTTATTAAACCTCATCCCATTGTCCTTGGCCCATTGATCCAGCCTGTCCAGATCCCTCTGTAGAGCCTTCCGACCCTCAAGCAGATCAACACTCCCACCTAGTTTGGTGTCATCTGCAAATTTACTGAGGGTGCATTCGATCCCCTTGTCCAGATCATCAATAAAGATATTGAACAAGACTGGCCCCAGAACTGAGCCCTGAGGGACACCACTGGTGACTGGCCGCCAACCAGATCTAGCTCCATTGATCACAACTCGCTGGGTACGGCCATCCAGCCAGTTTTTTATCCAGCGGAGGCTACACTTGTCTATGCCATGATTCACTAGTTTCTCCACTACTTTTCTCATCTCTGTTATATCTCTATCTACCTTAATCTGTCTCTCCATTCCCCTTTCATCCTTTTGTCAAAGGCCATCGTTGGCCTTGGGTATGGCCTTTCTGACAAAAGAAGTGTGGGGAGATGGGAAGTTGTGAGCCAGTGTTTGCCGAGAACTTGACCGATGGGATGGGGGGAGATCTTCAGCTTGATAAGCTAAGGCTGCTGAGGAATCAGAATGGGGAAGACAGTATGTCTGTTTTAAATTTTTTTAAAAATTGCATCTTCTATCAATTCTTCTATTCAAATCTTCTATCTACGTCATTCCTCTGTGCTTATAACCTTGTAAATCAAAAGTGAAGAAACCTGAGTTTTGCTTGCTGTTTTAGGAAGCGGCCTCAGCCCCCAGTCCTTCCACAAATGAGCCTCTCATCGATGTCGATGACCTGGAGGAATTTGCCATAAGACCTGCTCCACAGGGTGTCACTGTCAAATGCAGAATCACAAGAGACAAGAAGGGAATGGACAGAGGGATGTACCCTACTTATTACCTCCACTTGGAAAGGGAGCATGGTAAAAAGGTCATAAAATAACTTGAATGGCATACCAGTTGCATCTGAATATAAAAAAATTATTAGGAGTCTGAAGAAGTCTTACAAAGAAAATACAATCGTATATTTTAAGTATATTTTCACTTTTATTGAGATCTGCCCTACAGTCTTCCAAAAGCAAAACAATAGTATCATTTTGTTCTGCTGTTTTCCTTCATACGTCTAATCTTTGGCCTTAAATAATCCATGTATGGCACCTTTATGTGACAGTCAGCAGTTGGGGCTCTTTGCATTCTGTGGCCTGAAAAGCATCTATTTTTAATTCAACTGGAAAAGCCAGAGCAACTTAGAATGAAACATTTAACAAAAGAGATCGAATTTAATTATTTATACCATAAATAATGGACTGAGTGGTTGAGAAGTCACTTTCCCTTTTCAGATTTTTATCTGGTTTTGCTAGGTCCCTGGAGACCTTCTGTTACTTCACTAAGAATGCTGGAAGACAGAAAAATTGCCTATGGTTTCCTTTTATCCAAGCAGGAAGTGATGTGTGCTAACCCCTTTGGTGTTCTAGACTATGTTTTTTTGCACTGCTTAGGTGTTTCTGTTGGCTGGAAGGAAACGAAAGAAGAGTAAAACCTCTAATTACCTCATCTCCATAGACCCAACTGACCTGTCTCGGGGTGGAGAGAGTTTTATTGGAAAACTGAGGTAAACACTCATACATCTAAGAATTTTCCCTTTATAGTATAAAGTTCATTTGAAATTAAGAAGCCTGTAAGCCACTATTAATGAGAGGCTTGACTGCATCAAGTGGTAATGGTCTTAAATTTCACCAGTATCCAAGGCATGTTTTCAAAATGTCTCAAGTACTCACAAGGTAACATTTTATTAAAAGTCAGCAGGACTTTTTGAGGTCCTCTCAAATTTCAGGTCCTCTCAAAGGCCAGGTTCTCAAGGGTGTATGAGCACAACTTATCTTAATGGGATTTTCAGAAGTGCATGAGTAGGTTGTGTCTAGCCCCTGTTGATATAAATACTGTGGAATGGAATTTCTGTCTGTCAGACAATCTGAAAATCTCTTTGGTTTTGCCATTTCTTAAGATCCGTATTAGAGTTATTTGCAAGTAGTGGAACACTTTCAGAAGCACTTTTTCTTTTCTGTCTAACACCCCACCAAACATCAGTCTGTTGTTAATGTGCAGCCTCTTAATGTATGTTTAGATCATCTGTGCCTGAGGAAAGGGACTGTGTTGCCAATTCCCATTTGCCTGTGTGGATCTAGGAACTCCACGTGCTATTTCTTGCAGTGTGAACACAGAATGAGGATAATGTGGTTTTAGTATGTTCTAAGTTTTTGCTCCTTGGTGTGGTTTCCATTTAAATAGGAAAGACTGATCTTATTTATAAGTTTATGAAAATCACTCTGTTTTCCAGTAGAGTTAGTAGTCAGGGAAGAAAGCAGATAGTTCTGTAGAAAGTAAGCATATTTTAAAAACCAAGCAAACAAACAAAATAACCCCATTTGATGTTCCCTTACTGCTTTCTGGAATTTTCTAGTTTGCAAGACATCGTGGGAAGTCTCCACTGTAACAAGGGCATTTGGTGTACTCTGCTGTTCTGTACCTGTACATTTTTGTTATGGCCTTTAATCCAGGAGTTGGGATCAGAATTAACAACTATCTGTACTTGATATTACCTGTCTTTCCTCCGGGGCTACAGTGCAGTAAAGGATAGATGTCTCGGGCAGCATTACTGACAAATGGTGATTGGATTTTCCTTTTTTTTTTCCTTTTTTTGATAGATCAAATCTTATGGGAACTAAGTTTACAGTTTATGACAATGGAGTAAATCCAATGAAAACAACATCAAGCCTGGAGGCGAGTACCCTGCGTCAGGAGCTAGCTGCTATTTGTTATGTAAGTACTGCTCACAGGCAAAAGATGCAAGAAAGGGCAATTCAGTTTCTGAAATAGCACACTGAATTTCCTTCTCACTTACGATTATGTAAATCAGCAATCATACTTTGATGTAATCAAACAGCTGATCTTCACTAGAGAGACTGGGGAATTCAGTGGAAAGTGGAGGTGAAAAATGTGGCGCATGGAACCAGGTTGCCCAGTTCTCACTTTTGGTCAGAAGGTGTTGGAGCTTTTACATAACCCTCTGGGAGGGGTGGGAGGCTTCACAGCCTGCAGGCACCCTCTGAGGGAGCCTCCTGAACTGGAAAGAGTTGTGCACGTGGAATTACTGCACTGAAGTCCAATCATTTCTAATGGCGTTTGGTAGGAGGCCTCTCTGACCCAAAACACAGGTAGCTGGAGAGCTAGGTCTGAGCGGTGGCTGAGAGCCTGGGATAAAGACTCTGAAACTCCTTTTTACCAGGTGGCCAAGAAAGCCAACAGCATCCTGGCCTGTATCAGGAACAGCGTGGCGAGTAGGGCCCGAGAGGTGATTGTCCCCCTGTACTGGGCACTGGTGAGGCCTCACCTTGAGGACTGTGTCCAGTTTTGGGCCCCCCACCATAAAAAAGACATTGAGGTGCTGGAGCGGGTCCAGAGAAGGGCGACAAAGATGGTGAGGGGTCTGGAGAATAAGTCTTATGAGGAGAGGCTGAGGGAGCTGGGGTTATTCAGCCTGGAGAAGAGGAGGCTGAGGGGAGACCTTATTGCTCTCTCCAACTCCCTGAAAGGAGGGTGTAGAGAGGTGGGGGTCGGTCTCTTCTCCCAAGTCACAGGCGACAGGACGAGAGGAAATGGCCTCAAGTTACGCCAGGGGAGGTTCAGGCTGGATATTAGGAAACATTTTTTCACTGAAAGGGTTCTCAGGCATTGGAATGGGCTGCCCAGGGAGGTGGTTGAGGCACCATCCCTGGAGGTGTTCAAAAGACAGGTTGATGTAGTGCTGGGAGGTCTGGGTTAGTGATGGTGATGCTCCTTGTTTGTTGTGTGGGTGTCTATTTTTGTCAGTCAGGTTGACGGTTGGACAAGATGATCTTTAAGGTCCCTTCCAACCTAGAAGATTCTGTGATTCTGTGAAAAAAAACCCAAACAAACCCCAAAATTCAATTGAGTGAGAGAAACCAGCCTCTTATAGGACAGTAAATGGCATTTGTTAGGGACAATGCAGACATCAAGGCTTGAACACAGTTACTGTTTTTTCTGGATGACTAACTATTTTATTTAGAGTATTCTTTCTGTCCAGAAGTATCTGGGCCCAAGAGACTCTTCCAGTAAAAATTGGTTCATACGCTGCTACAGAAAGCTTTCTGTTTTCACAAATCATCAGCTTCTGACAAAAATACCCAAGAACCACTTTTCAGACAAGTTCTTGCCCAGCTCTAATCAAGAGTGCCTGGAGCTCTGTCAGGTTGAGGCCTGGCCATCCCAGGATGTACCCTGCATATGCAGAGAATGCCTTCCTGGAAAGGGCAGCTTCAGGCTGTGGGGAGCAATGCATCTGAAAGCTTTTGGTGTGTGAGAAGTGAAGCAGAGAGCCAGCCCTGCCATGCAAAGTGCTGAGGTGTTAGTGGCTGTTCTTCTCCTGCTGCTTAGGATGCAGTTTTTCTTGAATATAGTATAAAAAGGGGTTGGGGTCACGTGTGATATTATTCAGGCACATGGCCTATGGTTGCAGACAGACAGACACACACACACACACTCACACATCCCTCCATTCCTTTGGATTTGAAACTCTGTGAGAAGTTCAGAAAATCCAGCTAGCAGGATTTAACAAGAGAGTCCAGGATTTGATGTCAGTTTAGAGTTTGACTGAAGTTTCAGCAGGAACCTAAGAGAACGTACACGTTTAAATAAAAGTAGTTTTATTGGTTTATATAGGAGGGTATTCCCTGAAGCCAAGCAACTAATCTTCCGGTGCAAACTGGAAATACAAGGATAAAATGAAAAAAAGTTTAAAAAAAATGTTATATATTGAAAAATTTAGGCATTGCTTGTCTAAGTCAACAAGAATGGCATTTGAACTATTAACATTACCAAATAAAAAACTTAATTGCAGTCAGCAGAGGTAATTAGAAATGTTGGAAAGAACAGAACCATGGCCACTGTTTGGAGAACGAGGCTAAGATGAGCTGCTTATATATGTCTATTTTGAGATCAGCAGTTTAAAACCCTTACGTTTGTATAAGACATGGCCACTGTTTGGAGAACGGGGCTAAGATGAGCTGCTTATATATGTCTATTTTGAGATCAGCAGTTTAAAACCCTTACGTTTGTATAAGACAAAGACTTGTTCCATTGATATTTTGATTCTCGTGGAGAAAGTCAGTGGGCTTGCAGGTGTGCTATGGTCAGAGGATGAAAGGAAATCAGAATGATATTTCATTACTAGCCAGGTTTGCTGAAGTGAGATGGTTGTTCCTGGCTGCAGCAGAGCCAGAAAGAGCACCCCCGAAACACCCTTGTCCTAAGGTAACCTCTTAATTCTTGCCTTGGGATTTTTCCTGCAGCAAAAACTATAATAAACAATACTTTGGAAGCACCACTGTGCCTCTCGGTGTCTCTCAGCTCATCTGATGGAGTACCCATCTGGAGAGCAAGCTGTACCCGCTTCCACCAGCTTACTGAGCCTGACCTGCTGAACCATCTCAGCAGGTCTCGTTGATTAGAATCATAGAATTGCCCAGGCCGGAAGGGACCTCCAAAGGCCATCTAGTCCGACCCCCCCGCAGTCAGCAGGGACACCCCCAACTAGACCAGGTTGCCCAGGGCCTCGTCGAGCCTCTCCTTGAATATCTCCAGGGATGGGGCCTCAACCACCTCCCTGGGCAACCTGTTCCAGTGCTCCACCACCCTCACAGTGAAGAACCCTCTCCTCATCTCCAGTCTAAATCTGTTCCCCTCCAGCTTGAAGCCATTGCCCCTCGTCCTGTCACTGCAGGCCTTTCTAAACAGGCTCTCCCCAGCCTTCCTGTAGGCTCCCTTCAGGTACTGGAAGGCTGCTATTAGGTCTCCCCGGAGCCTCCTCTTCTCCAGGCTGAACAACCCCAGCTCCCTCAGCCTGATTAGTGATGCAGCTGTTGTTAACTGTGGGATAAACACGTTGAGAACTCTCGTGGTGCAGCTCACCTCAGGACATGTTTCAAGGAATGAAGTTGGTGTGAGGAGGGTGTTTTATCAGGTGCTGTTCAGCGTGTCCCCTCTCCCTGCTGATGGCGGGCTGGCATCTCCTGAGCCTGCAGCAGCACCTAACTGCAGCTCACCTCAGGACATGTTTCAAGGAATGAAGTTGGTGTGAGGAGGGTGTTTTATCAGGTGCTGTTCAGCGTGTCCCCTCTCCCTGCTGATGGCGGGCTGGCATCTCCTGAGCCTGCAGCAGCACCTAACGGCCGAGCTCAGAATCACTTGGGGAAGTTTATTGAGAAGCCAGCTGTACTAGGATTTTCTCTGCTGGATTCCTTCATATCCACAGTGTCTCACAATTCAGTTTGCATCACATTCTGCGGGCAGGGAGCCCAGCTGATATTCTGAGGTGTGACTCAGGAATCATAGAATGGTTTGGGTTGGAAGGGACCTCAAAGATCATGGAGTTCCAACCCCCCTGCCCTGGGCAGGGACACCTCCCACCAGACCAGGTTGCTCAAGGCTCCATCCAGCCTGGCCTTGAACACCTCCAGAGATGGGGTATCCATGACCTCCCTGGGCAACCTGTTCCAGTGTCTCACCACCCTCAGAGTAAAAAATTTCTTTCTAGTATCTAATCTAAATCTCCCCTCTTCCAGTGTAAAACCATTACCCCTTGTCCTGTCACTACACTTCCTGACAAAGAGTCCCTCTCCAGCTCTCCTGCAGGCTCTCTTCAGATATTGAAAGGCCGCTACTGAGGGACATGGTGTAGGGGAGGACTTTGTAGAGTAGGGGAGATGGTTGGACTCGATGATCCCAAGGGTCTCTTCCAACCTAGACGATTCTATGATTCTATGAAAAGATTCAGATTAAAAATTAAAAGGAAATTAATTCAGATTAAAGATTAAAAGTAAAGTAACAAAACTACGTGTTTCTACTCAGGCCTCAGTCACTTGCATTGTGCTCCATTGTACTGGGTTCTGTGCTCTGGGCTTTCCATGGAGTGATAGTTTCTACAGAATATATTAAAGACAAGACACAGCTGTGTGAGTCAAGTCCAGAAAGGGAAGCGGCTGAAAGAAAATTGGGATAATTAAATTGTGAATCTCCTGGGAGCTGTTGGGATATACACCTTGCCCCTCCTGTCGTTGCAGCGGTTGCCACCCTGGTGAAATGCTTACAGAACTTTATGAAAGTGTGTGAGATTGTAAAAGTGACTGTGGGGAGAGGCTCTGTGTTCTCCCAGTCTGGTTTGTTGTGAGACATACTCCCAGGAACAGCTTACTGGGTGGGCTAAGGCAGGGGGTGCAGCTTCTGAGCAATACTGGGCCAAGTCCTTAGCTGATTTAAATCCTTGGCGTGCTGGGTGAGTCTGGCTCTGCCAGCTAACAACCCTTACTTTGCGTTTTTATGTAAACCAAGATTGTCAGTGGCATTAAAATGGTGTGAAATCAGAATTTAGCCTGTGTTCCCCTATTTCAAGACCATTTGTGGTCTTGGATTTGCTCACACGAAATAGTGGAGGAGGCAAATAAAAGGGAAACAGAGAATGAGACAGGAGATAAGGGGAATTAATTTTATTTGGATGCAAGTAAATTGGAAAGGTCTGCTCTTAATTGAAGCTTTTCTTTTGTCCCTACTGTTTCCCTCTTATAGTCCATGTTTGTAGAATTTCTGTTCTGTACCTTGATTTTAGCAAAAGGATAGCATTTGCCAGTGAAATGTTTGATAGAATTGGTGATTGATGTAATGTGCAACTAGAAACCATTCCCTTACCAGTTGGCAGAATTTAGATTTTAGAGTTTCTGAGTAAATCCAAAGACTATAGTCCTGTTTTTTCGGTGACAATACTGCTTATTGGGAGGGAGGTGATTCAGCGCTATTATTTAATTTTACCTTGAACAATGTCTTCAACCAGTCAGCATCTAAATTAATTCTTTAGAGCATAACTGCAGCTTGATGAGAAGAAAAGCTTGTAAGACATTGCAGAGAAGATCAAAATTGTCAGTAGTTAGTGGAAAATAAGCATAAGCACGAATCTTTTCTTAGAAACTGTCCTCTGCTGTGCTGAGTCTCTCCTGTTTATAAAATTTGCTGGCAGTCATTTTAGTTTGAGTCTCAACGTGATGCAGAACCAAGTGTGTGCCTCCAGCTGAACTGATACCATTGGTTTATTCTGCCAAAGGCCATGACATCAGTGATTCAGAAAAGAGGTAGAATCTTCCCATTAATGTATATAATTCTGAAGATTTATGAATATACCTGGATTGCTTCAAGAACATTCAGTGAAATAACTCAGTGGAATTTTTCTTGCATGTGTGAAAATCTGTAATGAGTTGTGTAAAATCTCCAGGTGGTTTGCTCAAACAACCAACGTTATTTCAAAGGTCATGGTGGTGGATGACAAAACTTCTGCACGTGTAAATTTTAGGCTGTTATTTTAAGATGTTTCCAGTGAGTTGACGTGTGTGGATTTTTGCATGTAAAAGTAGAGATGTTTTAAAAAGTTTAATGTTCCTTAAAATCAGGACACTTTCATTAAATACTGGAGCCTGGGGGTGTCTTGTGGTAGGCTGTTGGGAATAGTGCCAATGGGAATTTCCTTCCTGAGATTCCTCAGTGTGTGTCCACAGCCCTTCACTTGAGAAACAACGAGGGGAGAAAATGTATGTGACCCAAAAAAACTATCACAAAACACGAGGAGATGGACTTCCAGAGGTGTCACTGTTTTGTTTATTGCAGTTGATGCTAAAATAGGCAATCGGGTTTTAATGAGTGGGTTGGAAAATATTGCCCTTTATTTTTTCTTTTTCAAAAGTAGATGACAACTTACTGAAATATTTGGCCCCAGTTTCTTCTGTGGAAAAAAAGAAAACCTCAGATAAAAATAAGACTTGTGGCCTATTTAGATTTTAGTTGTTGTGTTCTGAGAGCATAGTGCAGTATTGGAAGGCTTTTGTGAAAAGCTGGTCAGAAAGGCATCAAATCACGTTTAATGAAAGAACTTGTATTTTCCACAGATTTGGTTTTGCTGCCCATGTTATTTTTTACTTTCTCTGCCTTCATAGCTCAAATTTGCATTCATACTAATGTGTTTGTTTTTTACCATGCTCATCTCTAAGCAGAATATAACTGAAGACTTTGAAAACCACAGCACTCCTAACAGATGCTTTTACTGGCAGCTTCTTCTTGTTTGCTTTTGTGCTGGCTCTGGAATAAATGGAATTGGTCCCATATATTTAATTTTGTCTCTCTCATCAAAATGTGTTAGTGCATTTTATGATTTTTAAATTACAACTACTTTATTTTGGGATGTAGCAGTAGCCAAGAAATCTGGTTAGTTCATATCCTTTTTCAACAAAGGGATTTTTTATTTTTTTTTTTAAATTGTGTTAAGGTTTCTGGCAGCCAATGCTAAGACTGTTTTTGGAAACCTCTCTATTTCCATTTTTCCTGTTGTCGGAGCTTCTAAGACAAAGCTAGAATGTTTGGCAGTGCCAGTGAAGGTAGGAGTTTCAAGATGTTTTTTGAATTGTCTAACAGATAAGTTCCCCGGGCTGCCACTGTGTCCCTCTGTTGAAGAAATTAACTTTAAAAATACAGAACATGACGAACTCTTTTCTAAACATTTTTAGGAAACAAATGTCTTGGGGTTTAAAGGACCTCGTAAAATGAGTGTGATCATACCAGGAATGAATATGGACCACGAAAGAGTTTCCATCAGACCACGAAATGTAAGTCATACCATCAGTCAATGATAAAAATTACTTGAATTCTTTTTGTTAGAGTTGTTTTTTGCATTTCTGAATGTTTAGAGGTTAAAAAAAACCCACTATTTGAACAATCGCAGAACAATGGGATGTGTGACTAGTTCTGTGAGTCACAAAAGCACTATAAATAATAATGTATTTTGATAACAAAAGGTGCAACTAACCTTTTCCAAGCTGTGGAAAGGACTGAAAAGCGCATTAAAATACTGAAAGTTCTCTGTGTCACTCGATGATACTGTTTTGAGGGTTGAGGGTGACAATTTAGTCTTTGGGCAGGGATTTATGAACGGGGTTTTTTTGGTGAATTTCTTTTTTGTATTGTGAGAGTGTTAAACTGAAGTTTGTATCTGTGGTGTGTGCAGGAACATGAGACACTTCTTGCAAGATGGCAGAACAAAAACACAGAGAGTGTCATTGAGCTGCATAACAAAACCCCAGTCTGGAATGATGACACCCAGTCCTATGTTTTAAATTTCCATGGTCGAGTCACACAGGCCTCAGTGAAAAACTTCCAAATTATTCATGATAATGATCGTAAGTATCGCTCTCTGTCTGTAATGTGCAGAAACAGGATTGCATACACAGCCTGACAGTGATTTTGCCATTACTGATTACCTGAGTGAGTTTCATTTAGTCGTGATGAGACACTTCTTGCAAGATGGCAGAACAAAAACACAGAGAGTGTCATTGAGCTGCATAACAAAACCCCAGTCTGGAATGATGACACCCAGTCCTATGTTTTAAATTTCCATGGTCGAGTCACACAGGCCTCAGTGAAAAACTTCCAAATTATTCATGATAACGATCGTAAGTATAGCTCTCTGTCTGTGATGTGTAGAAGCAGGATTGCATACACAGCCTGACAGTGATTTTGCCATTACTGATTACCTGAGTGAGTTTAATTTAGTGGTGTGAATGTCTTTCCTGTAGTGAGGGGCCCAGAACTGAACACAGCCCTCGAGGTGAGGCCTCACCAGTGCCCAGTACAGAGGGTCCAACTTAATGCTGCTCTGCCTTGTGGCCATGACGTTGATGAAAGTTGGGTGTTCAAGTGCTCATGCCTGCGACAGGTGATCCTGCTGTGTGCTATCACATTTTTCTCCCTTGGCTGCCCAGCTTACGAACTGAGCAACAGTTCAGAGTCATTTCTGCTCTCAGAGTGGCAGTACTTTCAGTCAGCAGGACCATGGGACAGTATCACTCCACTCAAACGCTTGTATCACACAGTGCTTCCTTGGGTTTTTTGTTCACTCCAATCCCCTTACACTGCCCAGTTGAAGATGGTGGCAGTCAGACCAATCCCACTGCACATCCACTTTGCCATCACTACTCTTTGTAGTATTAGCTCTACAGAGTCATAGAATGGTTTGGGTTGGAAGGGACCTCCAAGATCATGGAGTTCCAACCCCCCTGCCCTGGGCAGGGACACCTCCCACCAGACCAGGTTGCTCCAAGCCCCATCCAACCTGGCCTTGAACATCTCCATGGATGGGGCAGCCACAGCTTCTCTGGGCAACCTGGGCCAGGCTCTCACCACCCTCAGAGTAAAGAATTTCTTCCAAATATCTAATCTAAATCTCCCCTCTCTCAGTTTAAAACCATCACCCCTGGTCCTATTGCTGCACTCCTGGATAAAGAGTCCCTCCCCATCTCTCCTGTAGCCCCTTCAGGTACTGGAAGGCTGCTCTAAGGTCTCCCTGGAGCCTTCTCTTCTCCAGGCTGAACAACCCCAACTCTCTCAGCCTGTTTTAATAGTAGAGGTGCTCCAGCTCTGTGATCATCATCATCTTCATGGTCCTTGTCTAGACTTACTCCAACAGGTCCATGTCCTCCTTTTGCTGGGGGCCCCAGAGCTGGATGCAGTACTCCAGGTGGGGTCTCACCAGAGCAGAGTAGAGGGGCAGAATCATCTCTCTTGACCTGCTGGCCGTGCTTCTTTTGATGCAGCCCAGCATATGGTTCCCTTTCTGGGCACCACTCCTGTGATCATCATCATCTTCATGGTCCTTGTCTAGACTTACTCCAACAGGTCCATGTCCTCCTTTTGCTGGGGGCCCCAGAGCTGGATGCAATGCTCCAGGTGGGGTCTCACCAGAGCAGAGTAGAGGGGCAGAATCATCTCTCTTGACCTGCTGGCCATGCTTCTTTTGATGCAGCCCAGCATCTGGGCACCACTGAGTTTGAAACATTGGTGTAGGCATTTGCTGCATTGTATAAGGTGAAAAATTACACCTGCTTCTACAATGAAACGTTCAAACGATGAATGAGGCTGAGATTTCCTCTTGCTGACAGAGTACAAAAGGGAAAAAATGTTGAAGAGGGATTTCTGAATATATAACAGAGAGAAATGATTAGGTCTAGATCACAATCATGCTGCCTTTTCCCCCATTACCCTTGCTTGTCCACTTGCCTGAAGTTAAGTAGGAATATTATTGATTGGTTCTTGCTACATGTGACACTCTGCACTAGGTCTATATAAAAGACTTGAGCATTTTATACAGAAGCAATTTTCTGTGTTTGAAAAAAACCCTTTTTATCTGTGTAATTTTTTTGGAAGACAGTAAAAAGTCTTGCAGTCCTTTATCCCTCAGCTGTTCCTCACTGGAGCTATCCTTGCTTCTCCCTCTGGTGTCAGCACACCTACTTGCATGAATAAGTGTTGCAAAGTTTGTTGAATGAGCATGTTTTGGTTTTAGTTTGTTGAGCTGGGCCGGGGTATGATGTTGAATACTTACTTAGTAATAGCTGCAAGCAAAAGTAGTAACACTTGGTGACTTTTTGATGGCCTCTCTTGCAGCTGACTACATCGTGATGCAGTTTGGCCGTGTGGCTGAGGACGTGTTCACCATGGACTACAACTACCCAATGTGTGCACTACAAGCCTTTGCTATTGCCCTTTCAAGTTTTGACAGCAAGCTGGCTTGTGAGTAACGGGGCACGGGTGAGCGGCCTCTCAAAGGAAGCCCTTTGCCACATGATTCCCAGTTCCTGCTGGTGTCACTTATGGTCCATACTAAACAGGTCAGGGAAAAAGCAGTTCTGGAGGAGGACCTGAAGAGGAAGTACAAGGAATCTTCTAAAAATTCAGGACATTCAGGAAAGAATATTTTCCTTTTTTTCTGTCATACTTTTCTGGAAGTGGCATCGAGTTGTGTAAATAGAAGTTCTATCTCATGTCCTTGATGATGTTATGGAGCTGTGCCATGATGTACTGTACCGTGGCTCTAGTAGCACCATTATAACGGTGTCTTTTTTAAATCCAGAAAGGGCGCGCACGCTCGAAAAAATTTCTTTTTACATTTAAGAATTATCCTGAGGCTGCAATCATACCTCAAGGTTGCATTCCTACATCGACTAATCAGAGCTTCACATCATCCAACGTAAAAGAAAAAGATCACAAAAAAAGATGCACTTTTTTGAATTTGCAAGGATCTTGTGTAGTATAAAGCCAAGTCTGAGGGTTGCAAACCTGTACTGGACTGAACTTGATGCATTGCTATTGTATACGTGGAAGGGCATGATGAATTTTACTTGCAGTAGGAGGAAATGGAGAAGTAGAAAGCACAAAATAATGTTGCACAAGTCACTTGAATTCTAAGATGTCATTATGTTTTAACATCGTCATGCTTTTTAATTTGTTTGAAATGGAAATGTATTTGGAGTACAGAAAAGAAAAAGGAAAACGTCTAGATGCCAAGAAAGCATAACTTATGTTGAATTTGGCATGTCACGTGTTGGGAATTTCTATCCTTGTATTGCTGTGGTAATTCAAACACATATTTTGTATGAAGTGATATAAACAGTTGGATAAAGGCTCTCTACAGAGAATCTTATTTTGAACAGGCTGTGTAAAGCTGAGGAAGGTAAATGGAAATATTTTATTAAATTTGTCTGGCCTTTTGCGATTTTACAATTTGTTGATTGCATTTTTTGAACTTTCAGCAACAACCACTTTTCATATTTATTTCCCATTGGAAGAACACTTGAAATCGATTGAAACTGTGTATGTTGTTCTCTAATGTAAAGGTGCCAGCTACTGAGCTAAATCCTTCCAGGCAAATCTAGGGTATGCTGCATACAAATGAGACACTGGCAGGACACAGAAGAGCTTAAAATAGTGTGGATTTTTTGTTTCTTTTTTTTTTCTTTCTGATTTATCTGGAATATATAAACAAATACCGTGTCAAAACACAAGCAAAGAACATGCCATTCTCTTATCTTTTCAACATCTCAAAAGCCAAGAAGAGCTGCAACTGAAAGCACACTGTAAAACACCTTTAAAATGACCATGTCTTTCTGCCATTGTTCTGAACAATGTTATCCTCAACGGCACACAAAGTAATGGACTTTACACATAGTTCACCAGAAGGGGATTGAAATGGGAGTGAAGAAGTAGTTGCATTTTATACTGTATGTCTTCAGATTCTCCTTTTTACTCCTTAGAGCTTCTTGCATTGCACAACCAAATATTATGTAATGAGAAAATGAGATCAGATCTGCTCGTCTCGTAGCTGTCAGTCCCTTTTTGACTATAGGGGACTATAGGCCACAGGTTGTGCCATCTGGACTGTATCATTTCAACTAATAAAAGAAATATACTCTCTTCTTCACGTTTGCATTCAGGTCTCCTTCCCAGTATCCAGACAAGGAGATTTCAGATAAGAGATGAAAATAAATAATTGCCAGCGTTTTTTTCTAATCCTTTTTAAAATCTAGGGGAAACAAGTCTGTTGGCTTTGAACAGTGTTTTGTTGATGGACTCAGCCTATCAAATGTCATTTTTTTCACATCTTTTTGCAAGCAGCCTTTCCACGCAGTGGTATAAAATGGAAAGACACCTTTTGTTTGAGAGAAGTGAGCAGGTGATTCCCTCCATGAACAACCAAAATGATGAGCTGAGAGCTGCAGTGGTTTTTTTTTTGCCTTTGCACATGGATCTGTGTTTTCTCCTGTAGCTGGTGATTCCCCACCACTTCATATCCCCGGGATCTCACTTTTGAATTTTAACCCTTATGCCTTTGGTTACCTCGTGTCAGTCTTTAAAAACTTGCTACGATGATAACCAGAATTTTTGGTTTGACTACTGCAAAACCAGACAGGAATTCCCACTGCTGGTATTTAGGTGGGATGCAGATTTCAAGAACTCTGCAGCACAGGAATGGCTGAATCTGCGTGGCTTTAATTCTGTGGCTCTTACATTTTCTTTAAAGCCTGAGAACGTGGCACCTGACATAGTTTTCTTCCTCTCTCTGTGCAAGGAACAAGGTCTCTTACGGTGCAAATACATGATCTGCTGTTGGATTTAGGAATGGTTTAGGAAGGGTTATTTTTAATGCAGATTCTAACAATGGTGTGACTTGCATCACGGCCCCACAGGGAATTGGCACGAAAAGGAAGCTCCTGTGCAGCACAAGGGTGAGAAGGAGAGGCTGGGGAAGGGCCAGGGTTCAGCTTCTTGGGGCAGTTTTGCTGCCAGCACATTGTGTAACTTCACTCTCACTGCGTGTTCTTCCCAGGCCAGGTATTTTTGTAACTTGTAAGCGTGCCAGAAGGAAAGCGGTGCTCAAATTCCTGTCTTCTTAATAGAATCATAGAGACATCAGCCAATGAGCTGCTGAGGGAAAAAATCCCCACCATACACTGAGGGAGGTCACTAGAGGGGGATGTTAACCTTGGACTAAGAGGAATGAGGACCTCTCATTAAATCTGCTCATTGACACTAGGATCTGTGCCTAGTGGCCTTTGCCAAACCCCTGGTTCCTCACTGTTGGTGAGCAAGGTGCTGGGTTCTTCACATTCACCTGACCATCACCATCTGCTCCAAAAGTGGTTTCTTCTAATTCAGCATCCATATAATCTCTGATGGACGCTCTCTGGTGAAGGACACTACTGCATATGGACGTGAGGGGGTATCACAAGTTTTCCAGCACATCTCCAAATTTTGTTTTCCTAACTTGGTAAAGTCACAGCAGGTTCTGTCTTAATGTGCAGTCACACCTGAGATGACACAGTCCTCACAAAGTTAGATTTTCTTCCTCACCAGCAATAAAACCTTGGCACCAGTATATGTTTTCAGAAATATATGCATACTAAAGTAACTAAAATAATATTAAAGAGTAGTTAGTGGCACATTCATATTAGCAGAAGCTTCTGCAGGACCCGCATGTCAATGTGCAACAGGGCATAACCTTGTTTACTTGGTGTGACACAGAATATCGTGGCACCCAGCTGTGCATTTCCTTCACATGGTCCTAGTGACTGTTTGGATAAAGTAGATGTAATATTATTTAAAATCCCAACATTGATGATTTTTTGCATCTGCTGTTGATTTTGGCAGAGAGTTGTAAACAAATTCCTTCCCTGAATTGCTTATAGGCAAATACTGCATGCTTTAATTAGAGTTCTTAATCTAACTTGTCACTCTGTTTACATCAAACAGTTTCTTCCTGGCTCTTTATCTACTTTTCTTCATCTCTGACGTTCTGTTTCTTCTCATTCTCTTCACAATCCCTTTATCTTTTCTTCAAGGATGTGCAACTCAAAAGTGTTTATTTTGACAATATTACTTAGTGATCTCTCCACAGATGAATAACGCCTTGGGTGCACATCCAGTGATGCTCCTACAATAGAAGCCTTATCAGAGGGGTGAATTTGGCCCTTTGGCTTTTCAGCACAGTAAATTAACACATTAAAAGGTACAGATAAAAAAGCTTGCCTCAAATATAATCAGAATTTTTCTCAGTAAACATTCAGTAAGCAGAGTTTCTAAACCATCGGTTGCAAATCAATGAGCAGAACTGTCCACAAGCCTGGAGGCAGACTCAGACAGATTCCCTTTGTAGTGCTGCCTCATTTCTGAATGGCTGAAAGTGATTTTTATGAGCTGAAATGTGTTGCTGCCCTAAAATAGAGTTTATTTTTTAGAAGCTAGACATCACTGCACGTCTTTTGTAGAGTAATATGTGGCACATAGAACAGGGATGTCGTGGGCCATTGTTACAAATTCTGATGCTAAGAAATCTGTGCGAATGGTTTTGTAATAATTCCTGGACAAGTCTCTCACTATTCAAGTTGCCTTAATAAACACTGGAGTTCCCAGCTGCCTGCCCTCGTGAGGGACTAGAACTGAAGGAGCTTTAGTGAAAAGGGCTCTGGAATAAAATCTGGTAGCTGCCCCAATTAAAAAACGTTATTGTGGAGTCAAATGACACCCCAGATTTGTATCGGTCGTGGTGAACCCATGCCATCAATTGGAACTTTCTGGTTTTTTGCTCCCTGTTGATGAACAAGCAGAGACATCAGTGAGGTCTCTAGAAGTAATAAGCATTAGACCTGCTTTTCTACCTATAAAGATCCTACCCCTACCTGAGCGCTGCTAATTAAAAAAAAAAAGGAAATAAATCCATTCTTTAGTATGGAAAATCACTTCCAGTTCTTGTATCTTAGCTTTTTATAAATTTTATTAGTTTACTAGTGGTTTCACATAAGGATGAGCAGGGACTGGATGTCCCAGAGCAAACAAGAGTTCTTGCCCTGACGAGATGATGACTCTAGGCTGGTATCAGAGTATTTTGTCTTTGATTATTTTAGTAGGATAGGACAGGGGGTTGCCTGGTGGTTTTGGCAGAGGCAGTTTCTCCTGATGCACGGCAGGTGTCAGAGGGAAGATTTTGGGGTTGATCCTGTGGTGTCCTAACTAGTTCCCTCATGCTATCCCGTTGCTGCCCTGAGACATCTCTTGCAAGATTTTTCCTGGTTTATAGAGGTTCCCTCATGCTATCCCGTTGCTGCCCTGAAACATCTCTTGCAAGATTATTCCTGGTTTATAGAGGAGTATTTCACTGACCAGTGAAATATCTTTGCTTGAATAATAAGGATAGCACATGTGATAAAACAGCAGTCACCTTTCTCAGAACTGTGGGCTGATGACTCTCGGATTTCTCAAAATGTGTCATTTTGATTACTAAAAGAAAGTAGTTTTTTTCATCTGACTCTTGCACTAGAATGAATCTAACTGCAGATGCAGGCTTCTCTTATATGGGCTACTTAATGATAAAGGGTATCTGCTGTTCTACCTGTGTGACATGTCCCTTCCAGGGTTCTGCTCTCTAAGTGTTTGAAATGAAATTATCCAGATACTTTTCAGTTCTTTCTGTTGCTTGCCAAGGAACTAAGAAAAAGAATTGCACAACTATCTTGATGATTTGGTATTTTGCTCTGAACTCGGTAGCTCAGTAGCTGATACTCACAAATGCCTGTGTATTGGATGAAAATGCATTAAAAAGTTACTTTATATATTGTATTTTATTTAACTGCCTAGAAATTTTATATTCCCCTTTTTCAGTAAGGGTATGTTTATCCATACCTTCGCTGAGACTTTTAATTAACTGGCTGTCTTGAAACACTTTAATGGAACCGGTACGGGTATGTTTATCCATACCTTCGCTGAGACTTGAATTAACTGGCTGTCTTGAAACTGTTTAATGGAACCAGTACACTGGTTTGCTGAATTGCTTTAGGAAGAGGACACAGTCCAGAAAAATTATGCTACGTTTTTGAGAAAAAAAAAAACACCTTCCTATTGGCTTTATAATTAGATTACTGAATAACACTGATAGCTTACCATGGTTTTATTGAAGTCTACAATGGCAGTTTGGAAATTACTCTGACAAAAGCTTGCTAGCACAGGAACTGGTATGAAATCCTACTTGAAAGTCAGAACCTAGCAAGCACCAGTGAATATTCCTGCATCTGCTCTGTACTTAGGTACTGCCTGATGCAAAAAAAGAGTCCTGAAGAGTCAAAAATCTGGGTTAAAATCAGCCTGATCTTTCAGGCTGCCCAACAGCTGGTAGAACATACATAGGCCTGGGGAATCAGGGCACCTGGGTTTTAATCCCAACTGACTGGGGGACTTGGTGCAAATCTTGTAACCTCTTAGTGCCTCAGTTCCAACAAGTTAAATGGAAATAATAATAGTTTTGGACCTGCCTACCTTCCTGTTCTGCTGCAGGGCTTCTCAGGAGTGGTTTGAGGCTGGTGGATGGCAGGTGGTGTTGGCAACCTAAGTACCCTATTTAATTCTAACTGAAGGAACCACAGTAAAATATGAAGTTTTCTGCCAGCTATGTAGAAACTAAACAGCTACCCATTCTCCTACTGAAGGAACCACAGTAAAATATGAAGTTTTTCTGCCAGCTATGTCGAAACTAAATAGCTAACCATTCTCCTGGGATAAAATCTTAACACTGTTGAAGTCTATGGAAATCTTGTCAATGATTTCAGTGAGGCTTTAATTTTTTTACCTTGTGTCATTTTTGGTCACTAAATGTGCAGAAAAAATAGTAAGGACACACCACCTGATAGGCTTTTCCTTCTCCCAGTGATGTGTTGTTGGTTGTGTTTTAGTTTGCACCATTTGTTGTTTTAGGACTATTATTCCTGACACATTGCAGTGGGTCAGTTACTGCAACTGCCCATTTGTGCTTTTATGTAGCAAACTGAGACACTTGGCGATTGTGCTGCAAATTGCCTTTTTTTTGTACTTTTGGGGGGTTTTTTTGTTGGATGTGACTCAGCTGTTCAAAACTGTTGTTACTGCAGACTTTGACTGTGTCACGCACGTCTGATTTAAAAACAATGAGTCTGGTGATTGATGACTACCTTTATACTCACATGGGATGTTTACAATGCAGTCTGTTTCTTACATTTGACCCTGGACCTGGGGCTTCTCACCAAGGTTATCCCAGTTGGCACAACGCCATGAGAAGTATCAGCAATTTAGAAAGTGAACTCTCTCCAAGTAATGGACTGTCATTTAGAAACATTTTTATAGATTTTTTAACATTAAAATCCATCTGATTTTAATGCTTACGGCGAAAGTCCAGGGAAATTATTTGGTCAAAATTTTCTTTCCTTAAGCTTGTCTTGAAGCTTAAGCTCTCATTTAAGCAGTAAGCTCCTGATCCTGCAGCTCCATCTGTGCAAGCAGAACACAGTTTGGGCTGTGCAGGCTGCCAGACTTTGGCTGCAGGAATCTGTCAGGGTCATCAGACCCAGCAAGGGATGGGATTTCTGAAGTCCTATCAAGAGAGCACGTCCTAATTCTCTTAAGCACTCTTGAACATCACGTCAGAAATCATGCACCTTTTCTATGTTGACTTAACAAATAACAGCAGGAATATTTTCACTCCTCCTTAGTTTTTTACATTTTTTTAGAAAGGCAATGCTTACGGTCTAGGCAAGTGGGATTTTATCAGACATTTAGTCTTGATGTCATGGAAAATTATGGCACGGGATCACTTATTTTGCCAGTGCACAAAATCTCACAAGTACACAAAACCAGAGTATATTTTGTGATTTTGGGCTGCTTCACGCTATGAAGTTCAGCGTTCAAACAAGTTTGTGAGCTCTGGCACCTCATAACAGGAGGATTTCATTCCAGACCGGGGACATCAGGAGATAACCCACTTTTTACCATCCTGTTCTCTTCCTTAGGGAGAATCTCCTTTCCTCAGTGGCTAGAAGTAGAACTATATTGATACTGATGTGTCTTTAAACATTATGGTATTTTTAGCTATTTTAAAAATGTTTTCAAAGCTGTAGTTTGAGCTCAAATAAAACAGTTTTTGAAGTAGCCATAGGTGTACCCAGTTGATTTAGTTAAGAGGCAGTTGCCTTTTCCAAGAGTTTTCTCAGTTGACCCGTGAGCAGTGCTTGATCCTCCTGCTGGAGGACACATAACAGAGCTATGATAATGTGCTTTCCTTGGGGTTTGCCTTATGATACTGCTTTTTTTGTTTACCACCACATTGATTTCTGAAGGTCAGCAATTCCACTCCTAAACACAAATAGAGCGGGGTTTTCTACTGAAGTCGATGCCTCATTTTCTGCTGCCTTACACGTGGAGATTTGATATTTGATACTAAGAATAGAAACTTTTGATCTAAGACTAAAACAGGCTTTCTAGACAAAAATCATTAAGTTTTAGTGCTATGTGCCTGGATGGACAGAGGGCTCTTTTTTTTCCAACCAGGAATGTTATTACTGGCAGAGTATTGTGTGCCATGAAACATCCTCTGATGTTGCTTACTACATCTGGAACACAGTGTGAGGACCTTATCCAAAAATACAGCCTTCTCTCACCAGAATGGCACCACTTTCCCTTTTGGGGGGGCTTTCTGTTGCTACTTCTACACTTATTGCAGTCTCTTCCATCTTGGGGCCAAGCTGTGATTAGATTAGTAAATATTAGCCTTAACAAACATCCACAAGCCAAAATTAACACTTCACAAAGACGCTCCACATCAGCTGGGAAAGCCTTAGAGCATTCCAGGAGCAGCAGGTAAGTAGTATTATCCTTTTAATGGCAGCAAAGATGTTATTTACAGTTTATAAAAGCAAACAGACAAACAAACAGAGTCCTTTTTAGAGCTGGCACCAGAACTAAGTTTTTAGACCCCAAACCTGTGTTCTAGTTACCATGGGTGACCAACTAGTAGGCAAAAGGTCTCTGTTTCCTAAGTGAAAAAACAACAGGGCTATATTGCATTCCTAACTGTATTTATTTAGATATTAACTGTTGCCAGAAACCAAACCAAAGCACAACCAAGCTCCATGTGCAGGTGTGGAGGAACTCCAGCGTGCAGGCAAGGCAGTGGTGCAGCTGGGGAATGACAGGAGAGGGATTTCTTCCTAGTGAATTGGCACACTCCTGGAGAAGAGGAGGCTGAGGGGAGACCTTATTGCTCTCTCCAATTTTTTTTTAGAAACCCTGTTTTCAAAAGCACTGGTTATTCTGTCTTTTGGACTACATAGCACAAGTCATGAGGATGAATTCCTATTTGGTATCACTTTCTTCCAGGTGGTAGATGCTTTTCAGCTACTTAGTCATCTGTGTTACTACAATTCCCTTGTTTTGTTTAAAGCTCCCTGATTTTCTTTCCCATCTATAAGTTGCTCTTGTCTCAAACATGTACAGGGAGACTCCAGAAAGCTAAGGCAGTGAAACCTATAAAGTTGATGTCTGTGAATTAAAGCGTGTTAAATCCCTGTGTATATGTTCTCATTTTGATGTAGGGTGGCCTCCAATTCCGGTTGCATAATCCTCAGCGGGGGGATTCAGCAGGTTGTGCAGCTCAAGGTTGTTGGTGAATATTAAAGTGCAGAATAGGTTTCTGACCAAAATACTGGAGAATTCTTGTGTATTCTCAGGGTACAGCCTTTCTAACAGTTGCCTCCTTGAATTGTACTCCCAAAGCTCGGCACCGACGCACTAGAGGCCATGTTTCTGAAGTCCTCTTTTTCTACAGCAGTATTTTTCAGCCCTCTCTGATTCATTGCCACCTGCAGGATGAATTTAAGCTGCCTGACAACAATGTGCTTTCTTCTTAGGAATTTGTGGATGCTGGGGCTGTATGCTGAAAGCTACTGGTACAGCAGAGCTTGATGCTAGGAGCATGGGGTAAATGATGCCAGTGTAACTAGGTTTATTTTTACAGTGCCCACCAGAGATACGCTTGTTTCTCAGACAGTAATCTTCCTTTCTCTTTTTTTTCTTCTTCATTTACATCTGCCTGGATGTGGAGGACGAGAGCCCCTCTTGGCACTCATGGAAACAGCCACCATAGCAGAAAAACCCACACACCAGGTTTATTGTGGATGGGTTTATCACTAGGAAATGCAGCTATTACATGCTCATTGACACCCTGCTCTGTGACAGTGCCCGTGTTCCCCCGGGGGCTGTTTCTCACCCCGGTGCTTGTCACGGGTCAGAGGACACCGCTGCAAAGACGTACCTGGGAGCTCAAAGTAACTGCAGAGCTGAAGCCATTTAGATACAGCTCTCCTAATGCTGAAGAAAGAGCTCCTCCTGAAGGCAAAAATCAGGACCTGTGGCTGTTTGAAGTTGTTTGAACTTTCCATGTCATATAAGAAGGTAACACTTTGTTTCAATTGCAGTTGCGCTACATTGAGGCCTGAGCCCAGAAAAGGGAATATGCACCCCAAGGAGTGCTGTGCCAGAAACCAAACCAAAGCACAACCAAGCTCCATGTGCAGGTGTGGAGGAACTCCAGCGTGCAGGCAAGGCAGTGGTGCAGCTGGGGAATGACAGGAGAGGGATTTCTTCCTAGTGAATTGGCACACTCCTGGAGAAGAGGAGGCTGAGGGGAGACCTTATTGCTCTCTCCAACTCCCTGAAAGGAGGGTGTAGAGAGGTGGGGGTCGGTCTCCTCTCTCAAGTCACAGGCGACAGGACAAGAGGAAATGGCCTCAAGTTACACCAGGGGAGGTTCAGGCTGG